GGACTAGTTCTTTGAAAAAGAAATATTTTACGTAGAATCTTTTACCTGGTACTCCAGTAGCAGCAAGAAACGCGAACCAGAATCAATGAAAATGTTTTGAGAGTTATTATCGATAGGTTCTCGTAGTATTATAATGATAAGTTTTTCCTTTCACATCAGTGTTGACTTTTTCTGTAGGGCTTTGTAGAGAATTCACTGCTGAATGTTTTTGGAGAAAATCCGCTCCGATCCCAGAAAAACTGACAGAGATACGTGTAAGCAGCAAATGTTATATAATGCCTTATTTGAGTTTCCGAGAAATTCATTAGAATTTCCGGAAACTTCTTCCACTACCTTTCGATATAGATATAGGAGCCTGTGAAGGTATAGGAGGTAATAGAGGTATAGAAGATACAAGAAACATCAATGATGTAAGTGATCATTCATGGAGGAAGCTCGGGTAAAAACAAAAATTTTTTTGGGAAAAACAGTCTGAAATTTGAGTGCAATAATTATTGTCTCATTGCTCTTTTGTCTGTTCCACAATTGAAAACAGTAATTGTGAACAATCACAGGAGAGAAGCGCGTTTTCTCGCCTAACTGACCTTTTATCTTAGTGTCGCAGCGTGGTAGAGGTGTGTAGTGCCTCTCTAAGAACCAGGACCAATGCTTGTCTCTGTATACACAATAATCGTAACCATGGTTGTCATTTAAGCTCAGTTTTCAATAGAACCTAAAATTATAAAATTCGAGAACTATGTGCCCTCTTCGCCAATACCTCGACATACTAATTGGACCATTCCATGTAATTTCATTACTTCCTATACTTGCATCAATCGAAAGGACGAAACAGCTTCCAGAAATTTAAATAAGGCACCGAATCAGAATCCGACCATTCTATATGTTATTATCAATAGTTCTATCATCATTATAATGTCATAAATATCACGAGCTATTAGATCTATAAAGAAGGAAATCATGCTTAAAAACATCATTAAAACGATTTTAGTTTCAAATATATCCGAGTATTTGAAATAGAGTTGAAATTTTGCCCTTGATTTCTTGTCATTTATGACTGAAAGCTTAACAATATAGTGAGGAATAATTCATGCATCTACAATATAGATTGCAAACGAATCGATAAAAATACACTCAATCAATTGAAACTTGTTCCTTTTCTTTTGATAAGAGGAATTTCTTTTACAAAAATATCCTTTCGAACGAATCAATCATTTGAACGAATTATTTTCATTTTTTAAAGTTCGTTGTTCCTAATGAATTTATTTCGATATAGTTTCATTCAAAGACACTTAAAAATGATTAATTTCCCGACAATGCCAAATTCAGTTTGTGTATGAATGGTGCAAAGTAAGTAATGATTATTTTTCTATTTTATAAAATGTTTATTCTTGATATCTCAGATGGATGTTTAAAAGCTGAATTTGATTCAACATATCCAATTCATCTACATGGTATTATTAGTCAAAATGAATTTCAAGACTCAATTAATAACATAAATCGTAGAATTTCATCTAATAAAATTTTAGTTACTGGGGCTATTGTTTGGGGTTTGAGTACAATAAGTGGAATTATATTGTTTATTATTGATGGAATAACAAGTGGTGACTCTCATGATGATGAATTTCCTGTATTAGTTGCTGTAGGATTTGCTTTGTGTGGTATAGGAATGATCGTTTTCGCTCTTGGATGTTTTATAACACTATCTCGACGTGGAACACGCATGATAGAAGCAATTGCTGAAGAATCAGTAAAATATTCATGAAGATCACCAATACCATGTAGTTGGAGATTAGATATCTCAAGAGCTGGATCTCAAGGATATGGAAATTGTTGTAATAATCGAGTTGCTTACCATGTAAGGATTGTTCATTTATAGGACATTGAAAGTTTCTTTTGAAGAATATTACTGAAAATTAAAAAAGAAAGTTCGCAAAGTGATTTTATGCAAAAGCGTCAATGTTGATTATTATATTAAGTGTTGTTTTACATAGTACCAGATAAACATTGGTTAGAGAAAATGGGTATAGAAGTCTTGTATTCATAGTCTATTTGGATAAACTTTTTGGAAGTTGTTGTTAATGAGCTTTTTTTATTTGTTTTAGTTAGTCATTGATATTGGTCGTTCTGGTGCTCCAGAAAGTGTATTATATCAATCGAATCCAGTTGCTCCAAACCCAGTATCGATTTATGAGCATCAAGATGACTATGCACCACATCCCTATTCTTATACGTTATCAGGTTTTGTTCTGATTGTATTGCACCAAAAAGAGATTCATCAGCTACATTTTGTACAACATGTGAACAATTATTCAGGGCACATTAAATTTTTCCTTTTTTTCTTTATTGAAATCTCATGTATGAATCACTTTTTCTATCTCGAAGTTTTTTCGCAATTTTTATAGATGGATGAACAGCTAAATGGGAAAAATAAAAGTGAGTGTCGAGTGATATTCTCTCCATAGTATTATAAGCCTCACTTAATTCCACAAAAGATAATATGCTAGCTATGTTAAGAATGGTTAAAATTCGATGGAATTTACTCTACATAGTACATTAGAAAACAATTTACGAAAAGGAAAAAGACGATATTCTGAAAAAATTCATATAGATTTATAGCCGGATTTCTTTCTGAATCGATAAAATCCAAGACACATATTTATAGCAAGGGTGTGAGTGGGGTGGGGTGAGTGTCGGTATGGCTTAGATCAACATTCACATCTTCTTTCATTATATGTTATACATTTTTCATTTCTCTTCATACATCAACAAATTAAGCATCGTTCTCTGCTGGTTTTGTATGCATAAAAATACTTGTGTTATGAACCATACAATCAAAGCCTCATGTTATTTTGTGAGGTCCTCAACTCAATACAAAACCTTAGAAATCTTTTCTTTTTTCACAATTAATGAACACTTAAAATAAAATCTTCAATCAAATCTGCAAGAGTCTAGATATAACTACATTCAATTGAACTTAGGGCATACCAAAATTAGTGAGAGTGATACTTTAATATCTTATAGTAAACTAAAAGAAACTTTCTTTCTACATAATCTGATAGAGAAAAAACCTCTATCTTGCTATCCTTTTTGATCATACTTCAAGTCATATCATAATAATAAAATTTCGATAAGATCTGTTTTGTTTGCATGTGTCACAGTTACTAAGTATTTTTTGAATAACTGTTGATAGAAATAAGATAGAGAAGTGCAGTTTTCATCGTTGGAAAGAGGAAATAAAAATGCATCGAATTGTAGATTGTAGGTTTTTCTAATATTGATTTCTGGAGTATTGTTATT